AAAATAGTATCGATTCTCACACTTCCTACACGGACAACTGATCATCGAACCTTCAACCCTATTGGTGTAGTCAAACACAAGGAATTCATCAATCCCATTAATGTATTCGCTCGACATCCTATTTGGCAAATCGATCCAACTCTTATCCATCATCTGTACACATCCACAAAAATATTTCATCAAAGTAACTCTAAATATAATACCTACGTATTCATGTACCATGATACCTATCCATCCAATTTCTCTCAAATAGGTAGGTAGTCTTATCCTAGTTAGTTATTTACCGATTTAGTAGGAGAACATAAAAAATGATATAATTTCATACTTTCTGAGTCATAACTTAAAAAATAAATAAATCATAACCAAACACCACATGAGGCACAACCAAAGATCTTATAAGTCTTAACTAAAACAATATCATAATTAACGAAGATAATTCATCATAACTAAAGAAAAAAAATAATGACATAACTAATGATGCATATGATAAATGGATGTGTATGGTAGAATTCTCAAAAATTATTTAATAAAAATGGATCATTATTCTGTATATTATAATTTTGAACATCACATACATAATCTTATGTAACAAAGTAGAATAAGAAAGCCCAGTCCAAGTTTCTTTTCTATCTATATATATGGAGGCCCAATTACTTTCCATACTACAAATTTCAGAATTTATGATTCCAAAATTTCTCTAAGGATAGGTTTAGTAAACTAATAGCACAAAGCTTTGTTAAACAAATTTATGAAGGCAAGAGTTTGTTTTTCCAGGCTTGCCACATAAGATCTCACACAATCTGAACTTTCACGATGAGTACTTTCTATTGTCTGCAAAAAATAATTGTAAGAAGTTGGTAATAACTGACTACATTGTTTTATCCACTTGTGCTAACATACATTACAAGTTACTAAGCTTACCAGCCTTATTATCTGGTGTGACCGTGAGCTAGTGTCATTTAGTGCGATTTCACCCACTTGTCTTTGGGCTGCATTTAAAAAAATTAATTAAAAGGTTAAGAAAATGCCACTCAAGACATGTGCACACAAAAAAACCAGAAGCTTTAAATGTTTACCCTCGTAGATACTGATCAAATGTCTTAAATGTTGATCATCATTTGTTGTTTCTTCTACCAGCTTCCGAACCACAGTTCCTTTCTGCATCCAAGGAATTACAGGAAACAAATATTAGCACGGAGAAAAGACAGAAACATATGGTTCCTGTAACTATGAATCAGTATGTATAGGTTTCACCTCTGGAGCATCTAAAGCCTTGAGGTTGCGTCCAGATTCTAAATTCAAGAGGTCCCTGACATTCTCATTATAGATTTCCAGCCCAGAATTCTTGTACAAAAGTCTCTCTCTGGAGTCTGTTATGAAGCCAAACAAACATATAATCAGATTGAATGCGATAAATTAAAATATATATGTATATATATATATATATATGTTAATATTGAGTTCCCTACATTGGTCAAGCATAAATTTCCACAAACAAATGGAAAGTTTTCACCATGATTTAGGGATGAGGTTTAAGTGAGTATTTATCTATGCCCGAACCTGATAAAAAAACTGAATTACATAAAATTAAGTATGATGAAGCTTACATTCACTATGTGCCTATAAATATCATTAACAGCTTTCTCAGTGATTCCTCTCATTGTGTAGGTTTTCCCACTGCTAGTTTGCCCATATGCAAACATTGTTGTTGTAATACGAGGAAAAAAAAAATTTGTTTAACATGTATAGATGTAATTTCCGAAGCAGTAGCAAAGATCAAAATAAAAAAAAGAAAAAAAAAAAGAATGATAGATGTAAAGGAAAGCATAACCATTGATGCCATTAAAGCAGACAAAGCAACATTCTTCACTCCTTCCTCATACACTGCTTCTGTTAAACAAGCAGGATCAAAGACCCTATCTAAATGAAGAAGCTTTGTCAGCATATATATATATTGATACAGATTTATATATATATATATATACAGATTTAATAATGTATATATTATCAATATATATATATATATACATATATACGATACAGATCTGTATATATATATACAGAGAGAGAGAGAGAGAGAGAGAGCATACCTGTCGTCCTCGCTGCAGCAGCACCGCACCACCGCACCACCGTTCGCCGTTCGCCGTTCGGCTTCGTAGGGATTTGGGGCAAAGAAATTGGTTTCAAAGTTTTAGGGATTTGGATTATGTTTTTGATCGAGCGGCAAGATGAATAGGGAAGGGGGCAAAAAAAATTTCACTTTTTGCGACGGTAGGTTTTACACCGTCGCAAATGGCAAGTATTTTATTCATAAAACGGCGCCGTTTAAATTAGACTTTTTTGCGACGGACAATTGCCGTCGCAATAAGTAAACTATTTGCAACAGCAAACGTACGCCGTCTCAAAATATTTCTTTTTTGCGACGGTAAAAACATCTGTCGCTAATACTGATGCATTTACTCCCTATCCGCGCATTTTTTATTACCGACGGGGATAACGCCGTCGCTAAAGCCTTCATTTGCGACGGTTTATGCTGTCGTCGCAAAAAACCATTTTTTGCGACGGGAAAACCGCCGTCGCTAATGCTTCCGTGTTTTTTACCCCCTTTTCTTGTAATGTGTTGTCGTTTGCAGGGATGGAACTAGGAGAATACTATAGGGGGCCATGACCATCATGTTTTTGTGAATATTATTATTTGTCACAAAACTTTAAAAATATATGTATCATTTTATATATTAAATAACCCTCCCAATATAAAAAATATATATGTCATTCTTCTTTTATCTTACATTCTCTTTCTATTTTACATTAAAAAAAAAAACTTATTCATCCTATTAGAAATTACTTCTATGGTATTTAAAAAAAATTTTATGTATATATAATTTATAGATCATATATACATACATGTGTGTTTTGTGTATACGGTGAAATTTTTTTTTTGCCGCTCCGATAATGAAATCCTAGTTCTATCCCTGATCATTTAGGATAAACAAGATTGTTAGCAAACCGAGCTATTGACGAATAATTAAAGTTTGACTTATTTAAAATTTATTTAAATATATTTATATCAATCTATTTTACTTATTTGTTTATGTTTTGTATTTGTAAAAATTTACATATTTAATTAATGAAATTTATTAAACATATCCACACTTTTTTCTCTTAAAACTGCATGTCCGTTAAGGTTTGATTTTTCTTTTCGGCTCAAGCTCGGTCATGTATGTAACCAAGTTAACTCAAGACAAACTGAAGTTTCATAAATATTGAACCAGCAAAACCTGAGCTTGATTCTTTGAGCTTAACGGAAGGTCAATTTGAGTTCTATCATAACATTCCAAACTTCAACTGACATCGTTTGCAACCTTAAGGACAAGAATTCTTTGTCTGAATTCTTTTCCATTATCATCTGTCTCAAACCGTCTCTCTGCCACACAAGATAAGGAGAATCAAATTATCTAGTCGTTTGGGGATGGGACTTGAAGATGCCTTCGGCTTCGTTTTATTATATCTTTGATCAAACTTTTGGAATTCACATATCTGAGAGGGTCCATCTCCATTATTCCTCATTCTTGGACTAATCCCTCAAAGCATCAGACTGTGGTATTGCTTTCAATTCTCGCCTGCGATGGTGTCGTTTTCTCTCTCTAAATATCTTTAGGACATCTAGAGTTCATAGAAGCCAAAATTTTGAGCAAATTCAGAAAATATATTAACCCTATGGCTCTATCTTTTTCTTTTTAGATAGTGTCTTACGGCTCTGTCTTGGAAATCTCAAAATGCACCTTAAAAAAAAAAAGAGAGAGAAATTCTATCCACACCACGTACACACCATTTGTGGTGTTTAGATATAAATTTTCGAACAAAAATTAAATGTTCGGACATAAATTTATGAATAAAAATAAATTGTTCAAATATAAATTCCGTTCAACTATTTATGTTTGAACAACTGCTTTTTGTTCATAAGTTTATATCTAAACATTTAGGGTGTGTTTGGTAACGTTTACGTTTTCAGTTTATATTTACAAAAAATTTATAAACTGATTTTTGTTTATTTTAAAAAAAAACATAAACTACAAACGCGTTTGGTAATTGACAAAATGTTTTAAAAAAATTTAAAAGATAAAAAAGAGTGAGAAATGGCGAGTGGTGGCAAGTGGCGGCAGAAGACGGTGGTGGTCTTTAGGACATCTAGAGTTCATAGAAGCCAAAATTTTGAGCAAATTCAGAAAATATATTAACCCTATGGCTCTATCTTTTTCTTTTTAGATAGCGTCTTACGGCCCTATCTTGGAAATCTCAAAATGCAACTTAAAAAAAAAGGAGAGAGAAATTCTATCCACACCACGTACACACCATTTGTGGTGTTTAGATATAAATTTTCAAACAAAAATTAAATGTTCGGACATAAATTTATGAATAAAAATAAATTGTTTAAATATAAATTCCGTTCAACTATTTATGTCTGAACAACTGCTTTTTATTCATAAATTTATATCTAAACATTTAACTTTTGTTTAGAAATTTATGTCCAAACAATATAAATGGTATGTATTGAAATTTTGCTTGGTGTGCAAATACCCAAAAAAATAAAAATAAAATTTCATTTCATTTTACCCCTAAATTAAATTACCAAAAGGGAAAAACCGTAACCCTAGTTCTGGCTAGCCCCTCCCCAAGTCCAACCTGCCCTCCCCAACTCCGGCCAACCACCTCCTCTCTCTCCCCGCCACCGTCACCCTCTTTGTGTGCGCATGTTGCAATGGTGGCTGATGGAGTTATGGTTTGAGAGGGAGGGAAGGTGAGGGTAGCAGCAGCAGACAACGAAGAGGGGAAGGAGGTGGGCCCAGGAGGGAAGGGCCCAGCAGAGGAAAGGGGAGGGAGTGGAGGCTGTCGTAGGAAAGGAAAGGGAAGGAGGAAGGCGCAGGTAGCTACAAGGATAAGTGGGTCACGAGATGGACCAGATGGTGACCGGTGATTACAGATGTAGGGAGACTAATTGGGATGTTCAAGGAGGAAAAACAAAATTCAATTTTTGGAGTGGGGTGTCTTAAGAAATGAAGTGTCCAATATTAGAGGCACACCTCCATCTTTCAGTTTTCTGCTCAAGTCTTCAAATGTCCCTACACCAGATATAAAACCTAGAAAACTCTCAAATTTAATCCTCTGTTCAAAGACATCGGAGACAAAAAAGATTTTAGCACGAAATAAAGTTGTTGATAAAAAGAAAAATGCAATTGACAAAATCCGAGCATAAATGATTTTTACTATTAAACAAAATCCGAGCATAAATGATTTTTACTATTAAACATTCTTTCTGTGTTGGCTTCTGTAAGATGCATACTTTGAAAAGTTGAGCTATGATGAATGATATAATACATTTAAGTCAGCACAGTTCACTCAAAGAGATTATTACAGGAGCAAATGGGATACCATACACTTCGCTCAGTCCACAACCTTCGGTATAGAGGGCCCAGAAAAAATCTGACCTATTTGGTATGGAATCTTGTTGAGCGACAAGTCTCTGAGCGGCTCAGAGGGCCGCGTAATGTGAGGGATAATCCCCATAGCTTCCTGTTTTTCCCTATAGGATGCCCAAGTCACCAAATAAAGCCCGGCAATGATTAAAAATCCACCTAGAATGCTGTTTCAACATATAAATCAGAAACAAAGGGTTAGTGCAAAGTGCTGGCTGATGTGCTGAAAAAAGTCCATAATAACAGTCCCAAATCAAGTTCAAATGAGCACAGAAAATTTTTCATTGAAGAATATCAATGTCAATATAATTAGAGGGTTGCACTACATGCGTACAACAAAAATTTAGAGGGTTGCACTCATATAGAAGTGGGTTTTATCAAAATTTTGGAGGACCAGGAGGCCCTCTTACTGCCCCTTCCCTCCGTCCCTGGAAACCGTGGCATATCTATTTATCATCTTAAAGAAAATTAATAACTAACAGTAAGAGATGCAAATGGAGCCAAGTGTTCAAGAGTAAACCTTCCCAAATAAATAGGGCTTCCAAGGAAAATTCTTGACAGGAGTGCAGACGCAGCAGGTTGAAGCGGATTATAAAGTGCAACCAAAGCAGGTCCCAGGATCTTATTGGACCATGTCAGGAGTCCATAGTTAAGAGCAGATGCAACAATTCCCTGAGAAAACAAACAAATAATAGTTTAAAATCTTTTTCTGTTAACTTCTCCTTTCAACAAGATTCAATTCGAAGTCACAAATGCATCAGATAAAAGTCATTTACAAATAAGGAAATACACGCGTCCACATAATCCCATTTTTAGTAAACAACCCAAAATTGGGTGGAATGAAAACAAAGTGACCAGTCCGACCTTTATTTCCACTAACCAAGCACACCCTAGTAAGGTGGTTCAACTTGACCTTTATTTCCACTTACCAAGCACACCCTAGTTAGGTGGTTCAACTATTCACTGGGCTAATTCACTGGGCTAAAAAAATATCAAATGGAACTGAAGAGAAATGGTTGTTATGTTTGATTAGAAACAGTTCAAAATGTTCTCTCCCACTTGATTCTACAGCACATTTTTCATAGAATTGAAAAATAAATAAATCAAGCGATGACACCACTTCTCAAAGTCTGACAAAATCATAATTATAACAAAAATCCCAGAGATGAAATGATTTAGCAGAACTAATTAGTGCTGACAAAAGGTAATTAAAAAATTAATCAGAAACTAACTGCACGTTTATCTTGCTTAAGAAAGAAAGAAAATGCACTTACAGCATAGAATACTGCAAAAATTTCGGACTGGGTCAAACTCCAATCTATTGACTCATTAGTCATAAAGAATGCCGTCGTTACCATAAGTAGAGCACCAAAGAAGTATGAATATGCAGTCACTGAAAGGCTGGCTGGATACTTTGCAAGAAGTGGAGCCTGAAAATCATTTAGACCAATAGATCAAACCCTAAGCCATTAAAAATTAGATCTGAGCTAATCCTGCATATAACTGCAAGTCTACATCATATTCATTCCCCAAAACTGAAAAAGCAAATACGATTTTCCATAAAAATAAAAATAAAAAAAGACCATTCTTAATCACATGTACTAGGATTAATCACAATACTACACAATCATTCAAGTATGGCAATTTGGTGATTTGATATTACAGGTTTGAAGAATCCCCAAGACGATGCCAGACACATCAAAAGAAGAATCACCCACCCAAACATCCTCCCAAAACATAACACTCACCATTACCCACCTTCATAGAAACAAATCTAAACCAAAGCAGAAGGATATGAGAAATAGATTTCCAGGAAGAACGATTACTATCCCTGTGCTAACCACATGAGAGTGTCTCCCATTGGCTTGAACCTTGTACTTACACTTAATGATGGCATGCCATAATGAATTACTCCCAATGAGAAATCTCCATAACCACTTCCCGAGAAGGGTAGTAGTATTCCTTGCCACAATGTTTCCAATAGAAAGACTCACTTTCTCCTTTGGAAGTGAAACAACCCCCCAATTCACTAAATGGTCCTTCTTACCCTCTACCTTTCCTTTCCAAAGGAAATCCCTTCTCAACTTTTCAATCTTCTTTGCAATTCATACTGGAATTTTGATCAACAACAAATAGAAAATTGGAATGCTACTTAACACTGACTACACCAGAGTATACCACCCCCCTTAGACAGCAAATCTCTTTTCTACCCCTCCAATAATTTCAATCACTAGATCGCAGAAATACTGTTCTAGGGTTGTCTCCTAATGGAAGCACCATATACCTCAAGGGAAGATTTTCAATGAAACACCCTAACATTTCCGCTAATCTTTGCACTATGTTGGAATCAAAATTAATACCCACAATATTCATATTTCTTTAAATTTCAAGTGTAAAATAGTGTTCATAAGATGCCATAGAGCACTTCATGCATAATACAGGGTTTTATGCATAGTTTTATGGTTAACTCGAATTACTAAATATACTCACTAAGTGAACGTCCAACTACACATGTTAGACACATATCCCATATCCCTTCGAGATTTCAGCATGGGTACTTTATACACTTAGAACAGTCCATGTAACATATCTAGCATGATTCATGGTGGGGATATGTTTCTTACAGACATTTGTAGATGGTAAATATGCATAGAACAGAGACTGGGACGGTACAGGATCCATCCTTTGTGAGTGCAATGTAAGATTAGAAGTTTGAAGTTGGTGAATGATCTTTATTAATTTGTTCAAGCTGCATCACTTTTGAAAGGCGAGGACAATGGATTGAGGCATCTGCAGGGATGACAACAGGCAAGTACAGCATGGTTTAAGTTACCAATTTTTTGAAAAGCCTAAGCTATTAGGAAACAGGCCCTACAATGTATATCAAGCTATCTAACACCCCCCTCCGTCACATGCAACTGCGTCTTGCACGTGGAGAGACAAAAAGAGAACCAAATAGAAGGAGAAGCAAACAACCAAACAAAGAAGAAGAAACCAACCAAATGCTACTGGAGAGACTTGAACCCAAGACTTCTCTCAACTAGAGCTCTGATACCATGTTAGGTTACCAATTTTCCCAAAAGCCTAAGCTATTAGGAAATGGGCCCAACGATGTATATCTAGCTATCTAACAGTCGCTAGTCCTTTCTTCCTCGCCACAAAAAAGCTTCCTCATCCTAGGCACTGTCCCAAACCCATGAGAGAATTTTTTTAATTATTACATCCCATCCCTTATTCCAAACTTCTTACGGTCCATTCCTATCTCAATCTGCCCCATGCTAATTATTAAGACATCGGTATGTGAAAAATTTATTGGAAGATGAGGAGTGTGTAATTTCAGATGCGTCAATTCCAACAAGAACAAAGAACAGGAACCTTACTTCAACAACACGAGAAGTGAAATGAATCACTGCTTATAAAGCTATCAATGAAGAATAAACAGTGTAACAACAATTTCAACTACAATCTTCCACAATGCTTGGGGTCGGAACACAAGGGTTGGTAGCAATTTCATGAGGTGAGACATGAGTTGGAACATGAAAATCATTGCTAGCTTATTGAAGAAACTCTAGCTTTCATATGAAAACAAGTCCCAGTTCAGTTTCATATACGTCTATACGGATTATTACTTCCAAGAAAAGGAAGGCTAAATGGCAATAAAAATTACCATTAATAATTCTTGGGTTGGAGCCTGAAGCAGCAAAACCAAAACACTTCTCTTACCCAACCCTGAGACGGGTTCAACCTCTGTTCCACACCTGCCCCTACTTCAATCAATGAACCTACAACCCCTCCTATCCTAAGCACAAGGGGAAAAGGGTTACCTCACTAATGGAAAATTGTTGTCCCAAGGTGGCTGGATTCTTCAAATGGTGTGTTCAATGCTTATATTTAAGTCATGCTATATAATAGTTTGATCCTGAATCTTCCTCTTACTACCAGGCATTCAAAGAAATCAAATATCAAATGTATTTTGAGGGTTGCTTCATTTGCTTGAACAACAGCTTGGAAGAAAATTCTTACAGTTAAAAACTGAACGAGGGAACAGCAGATATCTCAAATGTGTCATGCATGCTAGGGAGATTGGAATCGATGGTGAATCATCTTCTTTCATTTCCATAGCAACATAGCAAATCTTTCCGATCTCTCATAGCAGTTTTTATCTTTTCAATTTCTCTTGATGAGAGCTCTTTTCAATATGGACAAAATCCCAAATGAGAGAGACTGTTGAGCCACTTGCAGATAAAAGACTTCAAATCAAGACCTTTTGCTGTCACATATGCCTCCCCCTCCTAAGATCAGCAAGACACCCATTCGTCCCTTACTCAACATTTTAAAACAACAGTCTTTTGTGTTATTTTTTCCTTTTGAATCTTTTAATATTCATTTAACCTTTTTCTCAACCTTTGTTTATCATTAATTAATCCCTGTTACACCCTAATATTGATTAATGATTGTTTATTTGCATTAACATTACTTTTTTATTCCATACTTCCATCCTTTATGAACAAATGCATAAACCTTAACTATGTACAGATAATCAATTCAGCTTTTCATACATGTAGAAAGCTTTCAATTTACGTCTCAAACATGCTGATGGGATTCAAAATAACTTCGAGTATCCCTTGGGTTTTTAAGATGTTCCCATTCCAAGATAACCAAAATGACACACCAAAATGAGATTTTTATGCATATGTGTGGATCAATGTGGACAAACAAACAGACAAAACTGAGTGCAAACAGACAAATAGAACAAAGGCCACAAGAACAAATGGAAGAGAAACAAACATAGACCGAAAGGCCAAAAACACAAGAAGTCTCAGATTCACATCTCTACTACCATGTTAGGAACTAGTGAACCCAAAAACTTGAGTTTCAAAGGATTGGACTAAACAATGTATATCAAGCTCTCACAAGTAGTATTTGCCAATTGATAGGTCCACATCTTTTACTTATGGGATTTTAAACTGCATAATGGGTTCTCAAAGGGGACTGTAATAAGTACCAAGCTCAAACTCATAATGGATTCACATGTCCTAAGATGCATATTTTAAATTAATCCTATACTCTAACAAGCTCACCTAGGCAAGCAACATTAGCCAAGGACTCACTTAGGCACTTTCCGGCCTTTGTTTGGGAAAAATCAGGCACTTTCTGAATATGTTATTCAAAAGGTGGCATAAACATCATGTGGAGAACAGGAGGTGCACATCAAAGTCCACTGGATAGCTTAGTTGCTTCGAGGATGCATCTTTTTAACTCACTCGAACAATTGACCACAATCAAAATTTTGTTGGAAGGTGAACACCATTGTTTCTCATGTTATGAATTAAATGAAACATTGCCAAATTTAACCAACAAGGCGTCTACCAAGAGCTTTGCCCAATGAAGGAAAATTTTGTTATCTATCTTACTATTGTCTATTCTACCAGTTTCATCGATACAATCCACTGTCAAAAACTATAAAATAAGATAAATAATCAAATACCTGAATGGCTAGATAAGCCGCCATGCACATACAGTTCCCTATTAAGCAGACAACACCAAGGTGCCAATGATCAAGCCCAAAGTCCATAAAACTAGACATCAACCAGCCAGCTGGTTCTGGTTGACCCCTGGCACTTATTTCATTTTGTGCCACAAAGTCTGATTCCTTATAGCCTATTAAGGCTGGACCTCGAAACAGAACCATGAATATGGCACCAGAAACACATACGAGTGTACCTCCAACCTTCGCCTGACCTTCAGTTCTGAGCAAATTCACTGTTTCTGTACTGCATGAACAAGATTTACATATCATATGAAACAAGCAATAGAAATATACAACTCTTGTAAATTATATACACACGTACCAAAAAATATATATGCACGAATATATGCATACATATATATTTGTGTGGAATGAGAAAAGGCAGATCACATAATTTAGATAAGGGTAGGAATTGATCAAACTGACCCCATCATCACAGCCAATATAAATGTAAAGACGGGGATTGCAGGTTGTGTTGCTGCGGCATAAGTTGGATTTGTGTAACCAAGACCAAGAAGAAACAATAGCTGGTTGCCAAATATCCTATTGCAAATAAAATAAAATAAAAAATGAGTCAAAACCATATACTAACTAAAAAATAAAAATTGTTACCCCCTGACAGAACTGTAAAATAATATAACTAACAAGCTCAACCTGAAAAGTTTTAGATATTTTCGAACTTACCCAGTCAATCCAAGAAAGAAGAATGAAGTCAGGAGCCCTCGAGTCATAGGTGGTCTAACTCTTCTGCAATCATGAAAACAAGAATCATTAAATATCTAAGCATATAGCCCTTGATAGAGCAAAATAGCAAAAAAAGATTCATGTAGCTGACCCACTTGAGTGGGACACGAGGCTTAGTTTGGTTGGGTTGGCTCCATCTATGACAACTAAATATGCAAATGAAACAATGCTCCATTATCAATTGTTTTTTCAATAATTCCACCAGTGGACATCTGGTGGCTTCCACAAATGTAGGTTATGCAGCTAAATTGATTGCATGAAAATAATGTCAATAACATCAAAACTGTGCCAAGTTTTGTAGAGTAACAATCTGGCAGAGGAACAATTTAAGAAAAAGAACCCAATTCACCTTATGTATGAATTTGTAGGTTTGTGGATCAAGTTAATGTATGACAAGTAGGATTGTATAGTGACAACACTACAAGAACGAATTGCCTCGAAATTGTAGATTCAAGTATGTTGAAGATTGTAACTCTTTTTTCTTTTATTGGTTAATTAAAATTTCTTTTCGTAGCTGTGTGGGCAGTGTATTACTCTGTTGGTTGTTTTCTAGTTGACTTTTTCTGTTTGGACTATTGTTACAAACTTGTTACGTTTGCAACCATCTATCAAGTGTGGGGTGAAAGGAATTGTCAGATCTTCTCTCTAAAATGATTGAGCCTGATTGAGTGGCCACTAGGATCATTGCTGATGTGAGATCTAAGTTGTGTGCATGGAGGAAGGTTGAGTATTCTTAGGAGAACCGTCTCATGTGCTCTTCATGGGGCATTTCTAGTAGATTTTTTCAGTAATTGTGTGAAGATGGTAACTCTTGATTTTGGAATTAATTAATCTCCTCTTGTTAGGCAAAATGATATCTCAACAATCAAATTTCTCTATCAGAACATCGCCAAGATGCTATGAATTTCACTGAGGAAGACCCATATCAGAAATTGGAAAACTTGAAATTGACTTGCACTATGTTTGGAAATCTAGGAGAGAAAAGAATTTGTTAAGTTAAGAGAGAAAAGAATAGGAGAGAAAGATTACGGTTTCTCTCCCTTTTTGGTTAAGCTGGAGAGAGAAGAAAGATAATATAGTGATTTCTCTTCAATCTTGTTTGGATAGACTACATAACAAAAAAGAAAAGAAATTCTTACATGTTATTACCCAAACAACCTATAACCCTTTACGTTTTTATTTCTCTAGTACCTAGGTATTATATAAAATTAGAAATCGTCTCATTTCTTTGGGTGATTATATTTACACTACAATTCTACCTCATTACACCCTTTTTCTAATTACACCCCTTTCAAAAATTCAAAATTTTTATTTTATCTCTTTACACATTCTATAATTCCATTCATTCCCTCATCTCTAACCTCCTTTGTTCTCCTTACATTCAACCTTTCAAACCCTAACTCTTTCACCTCCAACAGCCAACACCACCCACAACCTCCCACTGCCACAGCCAACACCCTGCAAGTCCCCACCGCTGTGACCACCACCCCTGCAGTCCCCCACCAATGTGATGCCCACTCCGCAGCTTCCCTACCCCGCGAACCCCACCCAGCGATCTGTGTATGAGAGAGAGTGAGAGAGAAATCTAGGGTGTGGTTTTCAAATCTAGGTTTTTCAAAAGAAAAATAAGGGCAAGATAAGGTGGTGGGTGAAATGAGAACTTAAGGATTTTAGTTGTTAGGGTTTGAGGAATTTTTTTGATAATTTTAGCTATGGATAAAATTGTAATAAAATATTTTAAAAATTTTGGTAGTGTAAGGAGATAGAATTGTGGTGTAAATAGAATCACCCCATTTTTCTTTTCTCTTCCAATCTCTCCACAACAGAGAAATTCAAAAAGTGAGTTGTAATTTGTTTCCATTTCTCCTCATTTCCCTACTCTTTAATAATCCAAACAAGTGATTAGGATCAAGAAAAATCAATTTCTTTTGTTTTCTCCCCCAAATCAGTCAACTCAAACGGACTGTAAAATTTTCCGCATTGGAAACAACAAAAAAACAAGCAGCATTTGTAGAAATCCCATGGAAACCCAAATTCATTGAATGCAAAAACAGAGAGAAAGCACATAGAAATTCATGAATCGAACAACTAAACTAAGCAAAGATGTAGAGAGATTCAAAGCAGTGAAATTTGTAAGAATTAGTTGTAATTGAGAATGAGACTGACTTTTCGCGGACATAGGCAATGGGAGCGAGGATGGAGAGAGCAAGGAGGTCGCGAAAGACGCAGAAGACGAGCTGGTTGACCCCAACATTCAGAGCCACTTTGGTGATTACATGGTACCCTCCGTAGCACAGCTGCACCACCACCATTGCGGCGTGGGCCCTCCGCACTTCTCCTCCGCCCCCCGCCGCCATCACCAGTGATTCCACACTTTCTGTATCTATCTCTATATTTGTATCTATATATGTATTTGTGTGTGTGTGTATATATATATATATAGAGAGAGAGAGAGAGAAGGGAGAGATATAGGGCAGAAGAGAGAATTGAAAGAGAGGAGTGAATGGGTGAATCGAAAGAATGGAGTTTTGTGAGCTGGTTTGTGTGTCGAAATCTGAACAAGATGGAATGAAAATGAAAACGACGATTATTTTATTTATTAAGCACTCGTTTCAGAAGAGGCTAACATATTAAAATAAGATAAAATATTATAATCCGTCCGTTCCAAAATATTGGTCCTTTTGGGAATTTAATTTTTTTTTGATAGTACACTTATTACATTTAAAAAAAGTTAATTTTTCAAAATTACCCTTTTAATAGTACATTTTTTGAAAATATCAATGTCATAATTGTACTTTTTAAATTGTTTATTAATTTAAAAGAAAGGCAAAATAGGAAATTTACATTATTTTTGTACTTGATTTATAAAGAGGGACTAATATTTTGGGACAATGAAAAATGGAATAAGGGACTAATATTTTGGGACGGAGGGAGTAGGAGAGAGAGAATATTTAAATTATATATATATATATATATATTTTGATAAATTACAATTATATTTTCTGAGATTTATTTAAATTATAGATTATACCTTATAATTTAAAAAATTACAAATATTTTCTTGTTAAAAAAATTTATTTAATAGAATTAATTTAAAAATAAGAAATTCATAATTGCTCTCCTATACAATTATAAAATTACTTAAATTATTGATTGAAATATATTTATAACATCATTAAAAATCGTTAATTTACTTGATGATTTATTAATAAAAGGAATAATTTATTATAAAATTAGAAATCTCAAGAGATGAAATGTAATTTTTAGAATCACAGTGAGCGATTTATATTTTAATCAAACCTTAAGGATGTATTTGTAATTAATTTTTTTTTTTTGATAAAAATTTTAAAAAAAAAAAAAAAAATCATCCTAAGCCAGCGTTTTTAGTTCTAAGGTAAAATAATTAAAAAGTCAAACGCATCCTAAAAAATAATTTTTTTTTAAAAAAAATGTTTTTGCAAGGTTTGGGGGTTTAGTCATGCCACCAAGCATATTTGTCTGGAAGACGTTAGATTATTAAATTTTTTATTAAAATAATAAGTGGAAAATCGCAGGGTTTGCTTATTTTTAAAATAAATAAATAAATTTTTAGTGATTTTTTTTGAATTTTTTTTTTACATTTTTAGATTTAGTTGATGAGACAAACCGAAAAATAAAAAAATTAAAAATTCTAAAAAAAGACCAAAAAAAAATCTAAAAATAATGAACTTTTTAAGTTTATTTTGGCTTTTTCAATTTTATTTTACTTTTTAGATTGGTCATCACAAAACATATCAGAAAAGTTTTTTAAAAAAAAATTGACATAATTTTTTTAAAAAAAACCACTAAAGACAAATGAAATTCAAAAAAAAAAAAAAAGTAGCTTATTTAGCCAATAGGTTTGGTTTGGGGACACTGCAATTAAGTTACTTATTGATTGATTGATTTATTTTTATATCATCTCGATATTTTTCTGTACATCTTTTCATAATAAGAAAAAAAATTAAAAATTAAGTTATACCCAAAACAACCAATAGTCTCCGAAATAGGAATCAAAATTTGAACCAAAATTTTTGTTGGACAATCTATCAGAAAAGTTTTAAAACAAAAATTGACATTATTTTTTAAAAAAAAACCACTAAAGACAAATGAAATTCAAAAAAAAAAAAAAAAGTAGCTTATTTAGCCAATAGGTTTGGTTTGGGGACACTGCAATTAAGTTACTTATTGATTTATTGATTTATTTCTATATCATCTCGATATTTTTCTGTACATCTTTTCATAATAAGAAAAAAAATTAAAAATTAAGTTATACCCAAAACAACCAATAGTCTCAGAAATAGGAATCAAAATTGGAACCAAAATTTTTGATGCGTGAATGAAATTGAAAAGTATGTTGTAGAATGTGTGCATTGATGTTTTCATGTAAATTTTTGGATAAAAATTTATGAATTTGTAGTATTATTATTTAAAATAGTAATTACTTTACAACAATACTATACAAAAATTATCCAAAATTACTTTACAACAATACTATACAAAAATTATCCAAAAATATATAAAAAGATTACAATCATTTTGGATATAATATAATTAGCATTCCATTGACATTAAATTCACACCATACATATTTTTTTGGTAAATTTTAAAGTAAAATTTTATGGTATGTAGCGTTGTTCATTATTTTAAATTATTCTCATTTAAATATACTTTTTCTTAAAATAAGATTTTTAAAAAAAAATTTAATATATATGTTAAATAACTAAAAAATTGACTTATTAAGGTAAAAAATAAAATAAAGTGATTTATATGTGATTACCAAATGTCGAAGGAATCATTAGCATGGTGGGTATAATTTTATAGTGTCAATTGACATTAGTGTGCCTTATTTATTTATTTATATTTTTTTGACACCATAATGGTCGGTCACATGGTGTTTCTTGCAACAGTCATACCGTAGAGCTCTAATTAAAGCTGCTATAGTGCAGCTCTAATGAACTATCCACCCATTAAAAAAAAAAAAATAGTGAAGTAAAAGACAAAAAATGGAGAAGAAAAAGACAAATTAGTATTCTATTAGAGGTCTATTTTTAGAGGTTTAAATCATTTTTGTTCTTGCAATTTAGGAAAGTTAGGAAAGCGTAAGACTTATAAAGATTGTACTTATAGCGGAATTATATTTTAAAATTTTGGATAAATTACACTCATTTGATTTAAGGTTTAAAGAAAATATAATTATTCTTAAATTTTATTTTTTTTTAATATGATTAAAACGACTAAAAATAATGTCTATGGCTAGTACACACTGAAATGAACAAAGGAAAATATATATTTTAATAGCAAAAAAATGATATATTTACATGACTAGTAAAAAAAAGTTTAAGTGTTTGTGAATTAAAATCTTGAGAAATTAGTGTGATTATGTTAAAAACTTAAGATTGACTAAATTTTTTTTTATAATTTCAAAGAAAGTAAGTGTAATTTATCTAACTTTTATATTAATTATTTGTTGAGTAACTCATCTTTGTCATAACAGTTATAATTAATTAAATTTCATTATAATATCTTATACGAATTAAATTTTTTTTTAAAAAAAAAAATAGCATCATTCATGAGTTTTTTCATATATAAAAATAAAACAGATCAAGATAGAAAAATAGAAAAAACTGAGAATATCATTGACCAAGTTGGCCTCTGCCCAAGTTTTGTTTTTTTTATGTATATATTTTGAGATTGAGAATTGTAGAGGTCAACTGCAATAATACAATTTATTTAACTTTACTAAGTTCAAAATTGTTCAACTATTCAAGTATCTCACACCCAAAAAAAAATAAAATTAATGAAGTAATAAGTAGTCACAAATTTTTATTTTTTCTAGTATCACCACAAAGTTTGTTGAATATTACTAAAATTTAGTTACATAGACTAAAATCTCAACAAAGACTTAAAATGATAAAATTTAATTTTGTTACTTCATAATTTAGTAAAATTCAATTTAAAAATAAATAAATAAATAAACAGCTTCATGTGCTTCAATATCAAGATGAAATGCAATGAAATTGGAAATTACAAACAATATCGAATGGGTAAATTATAATTCAGTAAATAAAATATAAAAATCACAAATCTCAAATGAAAAATATAAAGACTAAATATATTTTATTTTTCGTAAATAAAAATCTTTAAAGAACCAAGTTTGCAATTTATTTTTGACTTTTTGTTAGAATAGATTTACATAAATGACAGTCAGAACTCCAACGAAATTTTTCTCTTTTGATTAAGAGAAAGGCAAAAGTAGACCGTAGGCCCTCTTTTTTTCATTAGTTACTGAACAATTTTTTTTTTCTTTTTTTTTTTGGGCGGGGCCATTGGCCTTTAGTTTAGGCCTTTGAGTATATTTTAATTTAGGTTATGTATGGGGATTCTATTTACACTAAAAAAATTATTAAGTATATTTAATTTTTTAATATATTTTATTAAATTATTTTGAATTATAATTTATTCTCAATACAATACTTTTTGTTTTTTTTTCAAATTTTCCTTCAAGTTGGACCCAAATAATAAACAAATCCCAAATTATACCATTTTCAAAACCTTTTGAAAAACTCTTTAACAAATTTCCCAAAATCACCTCTCTGTCTTTCTTGATGATTAAGGTAGTTTATAATTAAAAAATACAGAAATCAAGAATTATACTTTAATATTTATGTGAATATTTATCTCCTCTTTGATGGATTATTTTGATTATTATTGTTATTCATTATTTAATTTTATTTAAACTTTCTTCTATTTACAAATAATAACGTAATAAGAAATAATGATGTTGATAATAATGCTAAATTTTGATGGTGGTAAATTGAAATTTTAAAGTGAAAAAAAGATAGAAAAAAAAATGATTAAAACTTAAAGGAGAATATAATCTTTTTAATTTAATATTCAAAATGTGTACATCTATCACTTGCCTTTGCCACAGTCAATCTACGTATGATTTCAACTTTTTGGTGGTCTGTCACCCTTTTCTCTCTCTAGGTTGAAGGCTTTTCTCTGTAAACTTTTCCCCTTTTAAGATTTTCAAAGTTTGTGGTTGCCGGCGGTGAGGTTTTCCGTGACCTCCGGCCTCCTCTCCCCTCCTCCTATTGCTCTTTTACTCTTTCCTTTCCTTATTTTGTTTTCTCATAACTTAGAAGTTTTGGTTTTCCATCCTCTCTCTCCTTTGTGAGGTGTTTTTCTCCCATCCATTCACTCCGAGAGTAGCCTTCTCAGATCCGTGCCTTCTCCGCCTCTTCCCCGTCGTCTTCTCTACAGCCTGATTCACCGATGCCAGATTCACCTTCCCTACCACCTTCACCTCCTCTCTTCCGTCTCCCCCGCTCTTCTCTGTCACCTCTTCCTCGCCGTTCTTCTCCATCGTCTGATTCACCAATGCCGAATTCGCCTTCCCCACCACCTTCACCTCCTCTCTTCCGCCTCCTCCGTTCTTCTCCGCCACCTCTTCCTCGCCGTTCTTCTCCATCGCCGGATTCGCTGACGCCGCTACTGAATTTGCTTTAGTAGTGGGTCTGTTTATGTTTTGTTTGTTTGGTTTTAGTCCTATGCTA